TTAATAAATAAATAAACCGAAGAGCAAAAAAGTGGCTAAAATAACCAAAAAGAAACTAAAAGTATATGAAAAATGTTAAAAACAAGGAAATGAAAGTTGTTGATATTATCATATTCTGTGGGACTTCAGGGTCACATGCATCCAGGTTTCTGTTCTGAACGGCACAGCACAGGACCAGAGGGATAATGGAATAAAGATTTGGCTCCTTTCCTCAGAAAACCCTGCTGTTACTTGTCTTCTCTTCACTGACAAGAGGCCTTTTTTGAACAGAGGAAGAATGAGGTTGATACTTCAGGAATAAAAAAGACGATCAAAATAGATTAACAAAAAGGCGCTATAAGGCAGTGGTTAGCTGGGAAACAAGTAAAACATGAAGGATTGGGGTCCTTGAGGACCAGGGTTGGGAACCACTGCTATAAGGGACAAAGTTACTTAAAAGAACAGATCAAATATTTTGATATTTCTTATGAGGTGAAAAAAGTTCACTTTATTCTGTGTCCACTTGCTCTTTGAATTGAAAACAAAACAAAAATTTGGAAAGCAAAGGGTTTTGGCACACATCCTCTCAGTACAGTTTTAGCTGATTTATAACTACACTGAGAAAGACAAAAACTTTACTCCTCTTTTGAGTTTCAGATAATTTATTTGATCAAAAATAAATTAAATCTGAGAAACTGTGCAGAAAATCATATTTATATGACAGGGTTTCTGCTGTCATTAGACTAGAATTTAGATAGAACTTTATTGATTCCTTAGGCCATGACATGATTGTTTTCATAAAAAAAAAACAATACTCATTTGTTTACATAATTACCCACTGAGTAAATAAAAAAAATTGCTGTTTAGATTGATAAGAAAAAAAAGGGAGAAAATTTAGTTTTTTTAAACTATCGACTTTAGATGACGACTGGATCTTCAGTCTTAACGCAGTAAAGATGTTATTTTTTTCAGTAACTCCAAAACAAAACTCTGGTTTCACAATTAGAAGGAATGAGAATAAATCCAGGCATAAATAAAAAGTTAAAGCACTAATTAAAGGGACAGTCCAAATCGTTATCAATCCAGTCAGAGTTGAGAGCCTAGCATTCCTTAAAGAAATGTATATCACTCACTACCTTTGATGATGGACCTTTAAACAAAGACAGGGAGGTAATAATCAGTTATTACCTTTTCACAGGACTCCACTTCAAAAGAGCTGAACATGTCTGTTCAGATCAGAAACTGGCTAATGTGAAGTTAAARAAGCTAAAATTGGCCACAATAAATAAATAAATAAATGAAAGCCTATAATTTTCTGTTTATTAAGCTTCTTTTATTGTAAGTGATTGCGTCTTCGTGTGTATTAGCACGATGCTCACCGTGTTTGGTGCACGCTCCGAGCAGATTGACGATGTTGAGGTGAGGCCCGAGGTGACTCATGATCTTCAGCTCTGACATCAGCGCCTGAGTCTCACTTCTCCTGGCCGTGGCTGGACGAGAGCAGAGGGGAAGGAAAAAAAGAAGAGAGCTGTATGAGGTGAGAACCAAGAACCGCACAGAACAGGAGACATTGTGTGTTTTTATTTATTTATTTTCCTGCCAAACAGCTCAAAGACCTGCATGAGTTGAATCCGACTGCCAGTCAAACTAAAGCTCAACGGGTCGTGGCTCTCTGTGAGCTCACAAGAAAATGGCACCGGTTTTAAGATATTTGACAGCTACACGGGGGTCTCCAGGTTTTTCACACAAACTGCGCACACGGCTTGTGTAGCTTACATTTCAGCATCTTCACTGCCACCTTTGTGCTGGACTGGGAATGCGTCAGGCCGTAAGCGGTCGCCATGACCACCCTGCCAAAGGCTCCCGATCCAAGAGTGCGACCTGAAACACAAAAAACAAGCTCAGCGGGACACGGAGGAAACGAAGCCCCACAACAGACCTGGAAATAATCACAAAAATAATCTGACTTTTAAAACTTGTTTATAGCTGAATATGAGGATTATTTATCTGGAGGTGAAGTCCGACTGAGCTGAGAAAGTTTCCTGTTGAATGGAAACTGAGGAAACGTCTGATGTGAAAGAAGCRTCAAAGTGAACAGAGAGGCTGAGGAAGAAAAGCTTCATTAGGTATTCTGCTGCTGGCGTCGTGCTGACAACCCAAACCACCCGCTGCACAGAACCCAGATCCAGTTTAAAGGGACTGTTCTCATCTGAGCAACAAGAGGCTGCTCTCATACAGAGTAGCAACCAAAACAAAATAAAAACATGTTGGAACCATTAACCTGGAACATCACAAGGCTATAATAAATCATTAATGAATTCTTTAATCATAAACTAATAAAAAACAAGAAATAAAAGAAGGCTGGATTAATAGTTCAACCAATACTTTTCAAAATTCAGTGATACTCAGATATAAATAATAATATATTTGTCAATTTTGCCTTTTTTTTACCTGCTTTGTTTGTCTGTTAGCAAAATATTTTATGAACCAGTAAACCGATTTGAATTCAGATTTAAGAAAACCACCATTAAATGTACATTTA